TATACAACAAAACCAAAATTATGAAGCCAATCATGGGACAATATCAATCCTCAACATCTTTGTTATGTCTTACTACTTCAGAGAAGGATAGACGAATCAATCATTATTTAGATACATGTATTCAACTTCATACTTCAAAATGGCATACATTTTAACCCTGAAGGAGTTTACTCACTTTTGCAATTTGATCAAATTTTCCAAAGAGTTCATTTAGCATCACCACCAGCTCCTTGGGAGAACAGTCACTTGCCAGGCGAGTGAATCCTACGATGTCTGCGTACAGGATGCTAAAGAAAGGACAAAACATCATATGGCCTGGGGCTGCTCTAAGCTTGAGTCCAACGTGAAAAAGTTGTGATCTCTCAAGAGAAATATCAAGAACATGATGGCCTCTCTAAGATACTGACCCCATAGAGAAAGCGGTTCTAGGAAGTGCAAAGATTTACCTGACATTCTGGTGCCGTTTCACATACAGGCTGTGGAAATTATTATCATGTTTTTTCATATCATTGGTTTCTTTTAGACGCTCTATGATGGCAAGTTTCATTCCCATGGATATATGAGCTGGCAAGATCGACAGAAGCAAGCTTTCCTTGGAGAAAAGAGGAAGATTTGAATATGGGTAGTCCCCAGTTTAAGAACGAGTTCCATTCCCCAGATCTGTCCTTAAGTCGAATCTGTGTGTAAGCCGGAACAGTATTATTGTATAATACTGTATAAGTAGTGTTGGGTAATGAACTCGAACCATTGTGTATTTAACTTGAATCACTCTGTATTTAACTCGAATTTTGCTACAATAGGCTCCATTCTTAACTATGGGTCATCTGTATCCCAGGCATTCTTAAATGGGGGACTACCTGTAGTTCAAAGCAAGAGTTATATCACCAAGGTATTCAAATCAGCATAGGGAAGAGGAAGAAAAGATGATTGAACTAATAAGAGGAAATCGTTCTTCCACTGGCACTGCAGCTCGTTAACTGGGCCATGCAATGTTCATTCAACTTGAACTTTTGTAAATCTGTACAAAAAAAATACATTCATTTGCAAATGCTCTGCTTACGGTCTTTTTGCTCAGAGAGGTTCCTGGGTTACTCTGGAATTATTCTGGAATAATATTCACGGATATTTCTGGGTTTTCATTTTAATGGCTGCCAATAAAGCGGCAATACGGCTTACCTAACCTGGAGTGAGTTCTGCACTGCACTTTCTAAACTTAATAATTAGCTATATAAGGAAACACGTTTTATTATATTGTTTGATATCCCACTTACTTGTTGTCTCTTTTCAATTTTTAGTTTCATTTGCACTTGGATGCATTTTAACGTATAGCAATACAGGTCCCACGAGGCATCTTGCATCTGATGCTTGTGATACGCCCCCAGCAAATTGCCACAAAGGAAAATGAAAGCATTAGCAACCACCTGAGGAAAGGAAAGAAACCCTGCATTTGTGATCGGCTACTTTTGCAGTAGGCTACGTTCAGGAAGGATTCTTTGTAACCACATCTTACTGAATGTGCCATAAGAGTCCCCTCTGCACAGAATGCTATGCCAAGAGCAAATTGCATCATAAATAATAATTGGATGCAGCAAAACAAACCATCCTTTCTTATTCCAATGTTGCAACAGGAAATCTTATCTGACTTGTCCTTCCCCATCGATCCCCAACGGTTTTTCCGGAGAAGGTCTCCTAGCATCCCCTGTCCAATTGCTGTTTCAACTTGTTGAAAATGTTTCATTCATTTATTAAACTTATCCCACCAACTACCAGGGTCCATCAGTAGTCTACCATAAAAAATTCAAATGAAACTGATGACCTGAAATACTATAAATACTTAAGATCCACAAGAGCTAATTTTAAAAAGAGGGTCTTCCAACCCTTGAAAAACCCAAGAGAGAGAGTAGACCCTTCAACGCAGCCATGTGAAGCCTTGATTGGTTTCATCATCATTGATTGAATAAAATACAGCCTACATCCACAGGGTGCTTCACCTATATCAGCTGGGTGCTCTTCAGAGGAAATGAATGAATGAACGAAGACTTCACTTCCCAGAATTTCTTGAGCAGCCTGGCAATTGATGTTGTAATTCCCCACACACAACACTGGAGAGAGCCCAGATGGAGGACAACTGTGCTATGTCATAACCACTGCTTAGAAACCATAATGTCCAGGTTCACACAGTACAGTTAGCCCAAACTACCCAAACTGAATGGTGGATTAATGGAAGTTTGAACTCTGCCATATGATAACAGGTGCTAGGACATTTTATGCTTTTTTTTGGAAATTATGTATAATTCCCTGTATAGAAGAATATCAAGCTATGGGAGTATGCATCAATGTCAAAAATAACCCTGTACTTGAAAAGCAAGTCTGATACAGAATTTAATTCAATTTAGAAACCATTTATGGATTACAATTCTACATATAGATTTGCACTGTGTCTAAAGCTTGGCTTTCTCTTAACATAAGGCTTTAATCTGTTTTTTTGTCTGATGTGTTAAATAACAATAGAATTCTTAGATATAGACAGAACCCTTTGTTAATCCTTTATTCTGATCTATGATTCATATTGTACTGGCTATTGTTTTTAATGGTTGAATATCAACTTGATTTTTAATAATGTTCTTAAGCCTTAAAACAATGTAAGATAACTTAATACACAGCCCTAATCTAATGTTCTTTCAAAAGCTTTATTTAATCTTATATTGCTTGTAATGCTCTTTTCTATTTGCTGTTCTGACTTCTTTTCTGCTTGATTCTGTTCTTTAAAGTATCTACTAAAATAAATAAATGCTAAAAAAATGAACAGAGACTGTTTGTTCAGTTGAAGGTAATTGAGGGGAAAAAAGAATGAATGTATAAGCAAGGGATTTGTGTTCCAGTTAAGTGTCAGAAGACACAATCATTGCATTGAAAAAGGTATGATTTAATAATCAATATTAGCAAACTGAGGCAGCACCCGATCCTAAGGAAATGAATCCATCGAATGTGCGCTTTCTGATGAAGATCCAATTTGTACAATATGTTAAGATGGAAAAGGAAATTACCTGTTTTAATAACTCGAGACTGTTTTTCTTTCCTTTCATGAACTTGCTTTAAAGGGAGAATGAACCAATAAGGAAATAGAAGATGATAAATTTCCAATTCAGACAAAAAGCAGGAAAGCAGTTACTTGGGGGCACAACAGTTGCGCATGGATTAATAGCAAATTCTCTGTAAGAAGAGCACCCAGCTGATCCCCAGAACTCCCCTTGTTTTGAATGAAATGGCCTCAAAATGACCTTAGAGTGGCTAAGGAGAAGTGGGAAAGAGCCACCGCTCAGTTGCAGAGGACCTACTTTGCACACCGAGTTTCAAGCTGCCTGTCAATGTTGGCTATACTTGAGTAGACTGACCGTGTTCAGACTTAGGAGATCATAACAGCCAATGGAGTTGAAAAAAAAAACCCTGCCAACTAGTTAATTCCCTCTCAGTTTTGCCAGCACTTAACTGGCCTATTATAAGATTAGGAATTCATTTCCCTCCAGATTGTCTGGAGGTTGAGTCATGGCAACTGGACTTCTTTTCTTTTTTGGTAGAGATGTTTTGCTACTTGTTCAGAAGAAGAAGCTGCTTGGACAAGCAGTGAAACATCTCTACCAAAAAGGAAAAGAAGCCCAGTTGCCATGACTCAACCTCCAGGCAATTCCACCTGGATGACTGAGAATCTTCATAAACAGATTCCCTCCAGATTAGCTTGCAATTCCAAGGGATAGTGGGTTTAGAGTTGTAACAATTAGGTTTTGTGTCCTTTCTCCCTGATAGATGGGTTGATTCATCTTGAAATCACCTTCAGAAATTTGAAGCTCTTTACTTTGAACCTGCCCTTCCTTTTAGGGGAACAGATGATCTGGATTTTGTAGGAAGACTGGAAGAGGCACTAACTTAAACTCCATGCTTTTATTTTATTTGATCTTAACTTTTCTCTAAATCTCTGAATGACTGTACAATAGACTGGAGAAAAAAAAGGACACACTTTTACAAAGAAGTATTTGCATATAACATTTGAAAATGTATTTCTTTTTAAGAGAAAAAGGCACATTCCCCAAATTCTGAAACCTGCCAAAAGCAGAAGATTAACTTCAAGAGGTGTTTGCTTCTAACACCCTGACTGATATGTTGGCTCATGTTTGTTAATCCAGGTCATTTCACATAGTGACAAAGTTCACATTTTGTGCTACACCACAGTGATTTAATAAGCCAGAAATTGTTGGTTTCTACAACAGGCTAAGTCATAAATCATGGTCAACAAACCTCAGTGACTACGGCAACTAAATTTTAGTTTGGTTTCCTACATATATTTTCCCATGTAATGGAATACATATGGTACAAATTAACTACTTCTAAAAGAGCCAGGCATTCATTAGAGGTGAAAAAACCAAGCAGATTTCAAAGTCATATCTCAGCTTAACTCACTAATATAAAAATTAGCCTTTTCACCCTTGCATACAGCACAATTTCTCCACCTTTTGCTTCTAGCACACATACAGGTCATGAGGTAATTGTAGTTTGTTCTTTTGCCCAAACTAGGAAACCATAGTTACCACATTCAGAATAAGCCATGATCTTAAACTCTCATTTTAAACACCTGCTCTATTTGAGGAACCAAAGCAAACATACCCAGTTGCTACATTTAATTAAAAAAAAGTTTCAGGAGAGTCAATCCAAGATCTGCTGGACCTGCTTCTTTGCAGTCCAAATATTCTCTTAATTTCATCTCGTGACTTTTATCTTGCTGGAATTTCACAGTGCCCGCTCTCTAAATATCTTCATTCATACGGAGGTTATTGTTTGTTGGTTCGAAGTAGGAAAGGGAACCCACCTAAGGTTTGTTTTGCTTTGCTTTGCTTTCTGGCTAGGAATTAAACCAAACCCATTTCTTGACTGAAAGTAAGCGAGTGCTTCAAAAATGAGAAGAGGGCATGACAATGTACCACTCCTCAAAATTCAGTAGATTTGCCAAGAAGAGAACAAAGTGTTAAAAGTTTGCATTGCTCATGTCCAAAGCATTTAGTTGGGGGAAGGAAATGCATTACCTCACTCTCCAAGACATGACACACACCTCAACTGTGTGTATCCTTAATGGTGTGGCTGAGCTGTTTATCAGATTTGAAAAAGTGACTGTCTAGACAACCAAGGCCTGCCCATCAATTGCAAAAATTCATTGGCAGTTCACAGTGTCCACATTTACAAAAGCTAGAGTATTTCCTTTACCCCCCCTTCAAGTAATTTAGGAATATACCCACCCCTTTCACGAAAAATCAAATATTCCTTCTGGAATTTAGTGCAACCTTGTGAAAAATATCTGCAAAGAACTGTGTGGTTCACCTAACCGCTAGTATATTGTTTTGATGTGAATCAAAACTCCAGATGAATTCATCTTTCCCCTTAAATTAAACAGTCACTGCAACTCAACAAGCAAATGCTTCAACTTTCTACAGGCTGTGCCTAAATGCTAAAACCGTGCCTCCATTCCAGTGGAAACTAAACTTTTGTGACCCGATTTGGACCCATGGTTGTTTTATTGCTTCATAACTTTTTCTAAGATTCTTGTGAAAAAAGCGGGGGGGGGGGAACACTACCAGGTTTACCAGACAAAGAGAGAACATCTAATGCCCAATTTGAAATACAACAAAGAACAGAAAATGTATATTTATACACATCCATACATATATCTTATGCATGCACACATATATAAAAGTTAAACATGCCTGAATATGTAAATAATGATCTGAAATCTGGACAAGTAGCCAATAAAATGAATATAGGACCAACAAGTTGGCTAATTTATAATACCTTTCTAGTAGAAGAATTCTTTCATTTCCTTTTCCTCCCACAGAAAGGAACGCTGTTTGTAAAATGATACTCACTGGGGGAACTATAACCCACGTGCAGGAGACCAACATTTTCTGATTTTTCTTAAACTGGTGAGGTCGGACAGATTTGCTTTGTTTTAAAGCTATCTGAAACCTCTTCAAGGATTCACACTTCATCTTTCTTACGTTTGCTGCCCCAAACTGGCAGGAAATCGTGCCTAATTTTTGGTCATTGTGATCAGAGGACCCTCCCAAAAATGTTCCAGGGAACACAGGTGGTCCTGAGCCTCAGTTTCCCCAAGCGGACTTACCTGGAGGAGTAGAGTACGGTGATCCTGCTTGGATTCTGCTGCCGCAACGCTGAGAACTACAATATGAGAGAGGGCAGAAATGGAGCTGATGATGACAGCATCTCTCATGGCCAAGGGCAACATGGTATATGTCGTGAAGATGATGAAGAGAAAAAATGGTACCTGGAAGAAGAACAAGGAGAAGGTTAACAGGGAAGAGTCTTGAGTGGCAGGAACCAGGAAGAAGAAAGATGGGCATATTCCCTGCTAAGATTTTTTTTTTTCACTCTTGAGTAACGTAGCCAACTTCTCTTTCTTTTACTCCAAGAAATGATATTCTAGGGTAGGGGTTCTCAACGTTGGCAGCTTTCAGACGGGTGGACTTCAATTCCCAGAACTGAAGAGGAGTTGAAGTCCACCCGTCTGAAAGCAACCAACATTGAGAAACACTGTTCTAGGGTATTCAAAGAGGAGTTAACTAGGTTAACTCACTGCCACCAGAATGAGCAGGGCAAAAGGGTTGGGGCAAAGGAATTGAGAGGCACAAGTGCCTCACTTCCCCCAGTTTTACCTTTTAAAGAAAGAGGAAAAATTATGTTGTCAAAAACGGGCATTTTTCCTGCTTCATACTGGCAATGCTATCGGGGGTACCGAATGAGGGTCATAAAAGGGGGGCTGGCCCAAGCCACGCCTTTCTGGCGGAAGGATGGCATCATAACTCCGTGACGGAAATACCTGTTCCCATCCAGCAGGTGTAGAGTTTCCTTTGTCGAAAATGGACACGTATCCTATGGCCAGCAAGCTGATCCAGATCACGACCGCAAAGAGCTTTAGCTGGCACCAAAAGTAATATTCAATATAAACTAAGACATACATGATGATGAAGATGATGAGAGCAATGCTCACTGTCACAACAAAGGCAAGGTGTTTATCTGGAGCCTGTTAAAAGTAAAGCAAAGTTAGTTAGCCCATCAGACACAGCACGTGTGCATTCCGATTTTAATTTCATGATATGATTTTGCTGCAGTCCGTACTTTTCATTAATACCACCTCAGAAGCCGGTGCATAATGGAACATAAGAAACTTGGCTTAGTCCAATCAGGTGTATGGGACTATTCAGACAAGCAACTGCTCTCTTAATCCCTTAGGAAAGTCTTGGGTTTGTTTTTTTTTCCTGGGAACAGCTGTTCTGGTAAATTTCAAGAAAAAATATCCTGGAAAAAGGAAACAATTTCTGGTGTCCCATCTCCAGAACTGTAAGCCTGGCAGATCCCTTATCTCTGGTCCTCAGCTTCTAGAAACAGAGTAGAGAAATAGAAATAGCAAAAAAATGCTATCCCACTTATTTCCTCCTTCTGATATCTGGCTGGGCAAGAAAATTTTAATCCAGGCAGTTAGCTTGTTCTTACAAGCCTAGAACTTTATGCATAAAAAATTGCATTTGACCTCAGTGCCAATGCCATCGTAACAGTAGAATTTCAAAAATTATCACATTAGATCTAAAGTGTTGTTTGAAGCAACCATAATCTGACATTAATGAGGCATTCCTATTACATTTAAGATTAAGTTCTAGAATTCCTTTAAGCCATAGAGCACTTGGTGAAGCATTTAACAGATCCTACATTTATTGCAATTTCTGTAGAAATATAAGCTGTTGTGAATGTGTACAGATATAAATTGTAGAAGAAAGCTTTCAACATTTTCTTGGAACTTGGGGGGGGGGTCTTTAAAGCTTGTGCTAAAATGTGTTTGCATTTTTTTCTAAACTTAAGCATTCTTATTTGCAATTTTGCCTCAAGTGCATACATTTTGCCGAGAGTTCCCCATAATATTATGCATGTCTCTAAACTATGTCCATCAACTTTTGCATTTTTTTAAACCAGCTTTTCCCTAACTTGCTGGAGATGGGGAGTGAACAGTTTTAAAAAATGCAAAGTGCTATGAATTTAAAAATGAGGGCCAAATTAGACCCTCCAGTCTTATTCAAAGTACAAATACTAAGAACAGTAGCATATACTCACATCACTAGAGACGAGGACTGTGATAAGTGTTGAGCAATACGCAACCACAATGAAGAGCAGGAAGAAGAGCAATGGGTGTTGTTGACTTGCATAAAGGTACTTCTCATATAAAGGATCTGTTAACTTGCAACCTTCACTTTCATTGAAAAAGTATTTGCCTTTAGCTGGCATTTTAATTCCAGACAGTTTCTACGTCTCTCTTCACACAAAAAGGAAAGGCTGATCTGTGTTGTTCCACGCAGCCAGTGCTATGGCTCCTCACACTCAAGTAGCTGTCAGTTCACGCTCAGTTGGGTAGGTCAGGAAACCTGAGTTCTGAGTTAGCATCTCTTCTTATAAGAGACCCTTCGGATCTCAGCACCGGTCTGGAACAATGGTCCCGCCTCCTCCTTCGCCTCCTCCACTCCAAAGCCATGTGCTACCCACCGAGAGATCGGTGCATGTTTTTCTAGACGCAACTGTCATTTGTGCAACTGAAGGCAGGCTCCTTCTACTTTGCCATGCTCATTTAAGCATCTTTCACAAGCTGTCAGCCATTTCCTGGGATGAGTGCTTTGAGGGGCAAACTGCAAGGAAAGAGAGACAGAGGGGGGTTTTGGGGGGGTTGTTTTTTTTTTGGTTTTAAGCAGGTGCATCTTTGCCTTAAAAAAAAAGGCACATGTTCTTTGGTGGAATGGTAATTATTTAACACCATGAGGGGAAAAAATCCATCTTTCCCCAAGTTTATATATTTATTATTTAAATGTATAAGTTCCCCCGGCTCAAAACCGACTCTGAATAAAACACAACGTATAGATATTCCATTTTATTTGTGGTTTTAAAAAATAGCCCAATAGTTGCGTGGTAAGCTATTTTGATAGTCTTAACTTTTTCTTTCCCTATGAAGAGGTTTTTTTAAAAAAAAACTCTTTTACAATTGCCGCTCAGTACGTTAAAAGGACTGTAGAAATCTTATAATAACCTTGCATTTACCAACCCACAATAAATACCCAGATGTTACCAATGGTGCCAAACAGATGTGAAGTTCCATCCAGAAAAGCGAGCAGGTTGATGGAGGAAGAAAATATTTCTCCACCTCTCCTTTGCCTATCCACTCTTCTGCACTAGCCATGGAGAAAGGAAAGACCCTATCAAGGGGCCAATCGGTTTGAGAAAAGAATTTAGTTTTGTTTTAACTTTTAGGAGATGAATAGCCTGCAATTCTCTTGCAATACACTATCAAGATACATTAGAATCAGCAGGATTTTCAAGACAATGCTTATGGCAATAATTAACATTACAGGAATGAGTTACTTCATTGTAGTTACAACCACTGATTTCCAGCAGTGATAAATATATCCAATATATTGGCAGGAGAGTTTTTTACGGAAGTCAATGAAGTGTGATAAAAAGTGACTACAGCATGACTTGGCTGAAGGCAGCGTCTGAGGCAGTGTTTTTCTCATGGCTGGCTGGGGAATTCTGGGAGTTGAAGTCCACACTTCTTAAAGTTGTCAAGGTTGAAAAACACTGTTCTGAGGGTTAGGAGTAAGTATCTATCCCCCTGGAATCTCTTGACTCAAATCCCAGCGAAAAGAGAGCATTATCAGAACAACTAGCAAGGACAACCAATAATAAAACAGTTATTTAAATTATAATGAGCCCAAGGCTGAACTGAATATTTAAGGTTTAAAATTAAACCAGTAACACAGAGGACTGCAAAGATCCAGAATTCTAATTTGCACCCAACAAGATTTGAAGAAATGCAGAGCAAAGTCTGTAATTCTTGTACAATTCTTTTGGACATCCAATCTCCATGCTCCCTAAGGAGCAGCCACTGAAGCCATCATGTAGCTTGTTTGAGCTTCTGTTGGGTGAACCCTACCAATCAGGATGGATTGAATAAACCCTAGTTAAAGGAACTACAGTTTAGCACCATGCGAAAACCCATCCCAAGATCACATTGTTTGATCAAAGACTCCAGACCTACTCCCATATAGGTAAGCGTGTGTGAATACTCACAGTACCCTGGGTGGGTCCTTGGCACTGATTTCAAAGAGGAGAGCCATTCCATACATACAAGGAGCCAATGCCAATAAAGGCTTCCTCCATTGAAACAAATGAGGAAGCTCTTCAGAACAGAAGCATTCTAGCTGGAAATAGCTTCTTGACCTCCCTGACTAACTACAGAAGCCCACACAGCTATTTATAGCCAAGACAGACCTCAGCATCCCGTACAGGGAGTAACCCAAGTTAGTGAAATGTTCTAACGTTTGATTAAAAGCAAAACCTTTCTGACCTTCAGCATTAAAAGCCTTGATCTTCATACAATATCTTGTTTTAGTTATCAACAGCTCATGGTCAGCATCAAATTGAGAAGATCAAAGGCAAAGACTTCTTGCATTTCTCCCTGGGGACTCCAGCACTTTAGCACAGTGATAAATAGTCCACTGACTGGTCTTATGCTTCATACATTGCTAAATTGTATTGCACCATTTGGAATGGGGCCGAAGGCCACACGTGGCTTTTAAAAGATGCACAGGGCAGGATAGGCAAGGATTAAATGTACATTTTGATTTATCTGAACTTAAATACAATTAAATTAAGGTGGCAATATCTAGCTCCTCTTGGATGATCTTCAAAGTTAAGCAAGGTCAGGCCTGGTTAGTATTTGGATAGAAAATTATAGGAAATTTAATGCTGTAGAAGAGAGAGAGGTCAAAATGACATCCCGGAAGGTAATGGCAAACTACTTCTGTACTGTTGCCAGAAGAGCACCATAGACATGTCCATATAGTCAGCAGAAGTTGAGCTTAGTTGAAGGGAAACTAACTTATGTTTAATATAGTATCTTCCCATTCTTTCAAGGGCATTTATTTGATCTTGGAGCCTCTGATTAAGCATCTGTGCACAAATCCCTGGTTTAACCATTATCCGTGGAACATTCCATAGCAGCTGGGTTCACAAACTTCACCAAACCAACCACGGCTTCCCAACTGAACCTGGCTGGGTGACACAGAGTGAGCCAAAATCAAACAAACCACAACGCACAAACCCTGCCTTCCTACCGAACCCTACATTTAAGCACACAGATTTTTCAATCCTCTTTTATAAATGCAGTTCTCACTTTCGTAATTTATGGAAGTTTTTTTCAAAAATATGTTTAACTCAGGGAAGCTCTATTGTATTTTAAATACAGCAGTGCCTGTTTTGTCACCTCAAAACAATGGAGAAAAATGGTGAAGGCTTGTCTGCAATTATTTTTAATGCACTACTTTTCTAAAACAGAGAGCAAATACAGGTCTAGCTCCTTACCTTTTTCATTCCAAACACTGAGCTATGCCTGTATGAGGTCTTACAGAAAAAAAAAATACTTTTCTTTCATTGTAATACTCAGTGCTAGTTCACACAATGTACTAAACCTCAACCCTTGTTTAACAGAACGTGATTATAATGTTCACATAACATGGGATGTTAAAACAAATACATCACATAGAGGCTTCAAAATGTGCCCAGGTTTCCCTAACGTACTTGGAAAATGACCGAGTTCCCACAACACGCTGAATCCCAAACTATCCAACTCCAATTTATCATGCTGTGTGAACCAGTCAACAACTGCGATCTATACATTTTCTTGCAATTAATTGTTCAAAAATAATGAAGTCATAGGAAACAATCAATTTCCTGTCATCTTCTACTGTGACTGGGAATATAAACACAAAGTTCTCTTGTCTTGCAACACATATCCAACCCTGGGCAGCGTTACAGATGTCAAATAAAATAAAGCTCTCTACAGGTGTTTAGTTTAATCTCCACATATCACTCCATTTTTCACACCAAATATTTCCCATCCCCCAGCATAGATGACCAGCTTTGCCATGACTCATGCTGAATTTGACCCACGGTGATCTCTTTACATAACTCTCCCAATTTGCCTTCTTCATTGATCCCTTATTTACCACTGCAAGAACCAATATTTTCAAGACCAGGAGTGAATTTTGACAAGGTGTCAAATGCAAGAACACCTATCAGAACCTTGGACAGAGGCCTTGGGCCCCTGGAAATGCCAAGTGTGTCCTTTAGCACCTGTTTACATGCCCCATAAGGAAACAAATTAAAGTCCCAAATGATCTTACACCCTTAAGGAAGTTCTACATACAACATCAAGTTTTCACAGTCAGAACAGCTGAAAAGGGGAAGTGTGCAAAGGTGATTATGGGCTAGTCAGGACCCAAAAAAGAAAACAAAATTATCAAAATGTGGGTGGATGAATCAACACAATACAAAACCAAGAAAATAAAAAATAGGCTAGGTTTGCACAGCAGACTAAAGCAAAACACAAAGAATTCATAATATGGCTTTATTTGAAGTACAACCCTACAAGAAAACTGGTATCTTGTGGGGGGGGGGGGGTTCCCTGAACCTTTGGCCTGGGAAAAGCTAAGGTTGTCAAGCAGCAAGACTGAGGAATGCAGAAATTCAAAATAACTGCAGTCGCACTTATAAGGATTCATTGTTCCTTAAGAATTTCCAAGGGACACTTCCTGCAGATTATGTATGTCACTTATTAAATCTAAATATTTCTAGGCAGCACCCATTTCAATGCCCTCCCCTCAGGAAATTTAGAAGGTGGATTATACCTGTGAAAAGTAGAGGCTGTGTGGATTGCACACATTTTCTTACCAAGTGTAGAAGAGACGAAGATATACAGCAACCATCACTAAAGCACGAGCTTTGCTTGGGAAAACAGGAGAGTGTGAAAAAGGAACTCAAGATGACCCCACTTTGACTCTCTTCAGTATGAGGGGGAAGGAAGTGAAATGGTGTCAGGATTTCAAGATTGTTTTATAGATATAGGTGATAAGAACACAGAGTCCTAGGATTCCTTGTGGTGTCTTTCTCGACCTGGACTTCCTCAAAGGGCTGACGCTGTAAATTTTATTCTGATATTCTGACAAGATTAATTCAGCCTCTGTTAAAGAATTGGCCAAGGCACCTGGATGAGTCCCTAGAGTGATAAATATAGTGGCAAAATTTTATTATTCTACAATGAGGACCCACCAGAAACTTGAATCTTCATTAAGGATCAGGATGAACTATACGATAGGACTATCTTTCTTCGTTTTTATTGTCTGTATCTCTGGATGTTCTGCTCTAAGACAGTAAAGTGCATTTGATGTGTAACCCCACACAAAATGAGGATGCGTTACCAATCTTTTCTTAATGATTTCCAGTAGTTGCCTGGAAATTTCACAGAAGTTGCAGACATTCTTTTCACCACTCCACTGTAATTGCATGTGATCTGCATCTGCCAATGTGATCTCAGATCCCATCAACAAAATTAATTTAGGATGGTAAGCTCCAACACACATCATTACATATTTTCTTCCCCTTGGACCACATTCAACTCTTTAATGCCTTTCCCCAGTTTGAAGAGATCTTTGTGGAAATCTTTCCCCATTTTTTTTTTAATTCCTCCAAATAACTTGGCGTCCTTGGTGAACTTGGCCACCTCATACCTCATCTCTGATTTTTTAACAAAAAGAGTTGAACAGTAGAAACAATGAGCCATACTTGTTGCTATTCA